GCCTTCATCGTGCCATTAAGAAGAGGACATAGCCTTTGGAGGAAATTGTCAGCAAATGCTCTAAAAGCTCATCAACCCAAGGAAATGCATGTAAAACATGAGAACGCCATGTCATCGTCCAGTCGTTAGTTGTGAAGGAGCTGTGCGCGCTGCGCTTCCCTTTGCATATGTTGTTCCTCTTCGAGAGCCTGCCGCTGAAGCTCTTCCTTGAGCCTGTTGCGGGCGGCTCGAGCCTCCCGCTGTTGCATTTCCGCTGCAAGCTTTTCCTGCAGCTTCTTTTCTTTAAGTTCGGCTCGCTTCGCCCTCTTTCGGTCCCTCTCTCGGGCCTGCGCCTCTGCGCTTCTAGGCTTGCGAGATCGATCTGGTTTTGCCGAGGGCTTGGGTCCGCCCGGGAGAGGCAATGGCAGTTGGCGTGGGCGAACTCGCCGAGCAGATCCAAAGAGACACTTGTGCTTTGTTCGCTGCTTTCCGTCGCCTCCCAGGCCACAGCTGGCTTCCAGCCACCAGTCGAAAGCTGATGAAGGGGGTGGGGAGTGTGGGGGAGTCATACTTTTTGTTAGTCTTAATGTGCCCGACCTGGCCGCAGTTGGCGCACTTTCGTGTCGTTCCGGTGAGTATCTTATCACCACCGCTCGGAGATCCGGCATCGCCAGCGCTGGCTTTCTGGTGGAGTTCTTTCTGCTGTTCTCGGGCTTGTCGTCGGGCTTTGTTCTTCTCAAGTCGTTCGAGCTCCTTCTTGATTCTATAGCATGGTAAGTACGGCAATGGCGAACGCGTAGTAGGTCTGAACATACCGAGCGTTTGCAAGATGGTCATGGTCGGCATTGCCCGTAGGCCGGGCGCTGTAGATACTGTGGAAAGATAACTGTAAGCGGGTGCCCTGATCTCGAGGCCAATAAAGTCTGGGATAGTGCCAGAAAAGCCAGGTCCGTGGAAGGAGTTTGTGATGTGCTTCTTTGTAAAGGTCTTGGACATGATGGCCCATCTGTGTAGAGCCTTTACATGCAGTGGCAGCCTACGCCAAACGCGAGGTCCAGTGGCGTGGCGGTAGGGGACATGTGCAAAGCCTTTGACGTACTCTCTAAGTTCCAGATCCGCCTCGGTGCGCCGTTTCATATACTGCGATATTACGACGGGATCGTGTACGACTTCGGTTCGGGTCTGCGTGCTGCCATCGGCCATTCGGACTTCGCGGGTGATGCGGATCGCGCGCTTTAGGTGACGACTTGACGAAGTCAAGCCACTAATCTGACTGGCCCTATCGTCGTAGTGCGCTGGCGTGGCGGCCGATTGTACGTTGAATCGATCGTCCTCGTCTTCGGTAACTGCAACATCCTTGTCATCGTGCTCCTGGGGGTCAGAAAGTGTCGATTTTTGCTTCTCCCAAATCTCACGGATACCCTCCTCATACATGGCCTGCTGCTTCTTGACGTTGTAGGCGTGTCCGCCGTTGGCGCGTTTCTCACGCTCCATTGCGTCCGCCGACGTTGCCAGGGGCCCTTGGACGGCCTCGATATAGCCGCCCTTCATCGATGTCCTGATGAAGCTAAAGCCAAGGCCGTGGCCAGTGGGGTCACCCTCACCATGGAGCTGCAGCATAGCCTTTTGCGCGCAAGCATCGATGAAGGCTTTTGTCGTCTTCCAAGGAGCCATCTTGTCGGCCAAGGTTTCTTCCTGCTTCTCGCCTGCCTTCTTGGCGGCTTTGGCCATTTTGCTTGCGTCATCATCGCCATCGTCTTCATCGGCTTCGGCTTCGGCCATCTGCGTATCATCGTCGATGTTGGCATTTCTTGGGTCGTAGCCGGCGTCTTCGAGCTCCTTGATGCCGAGCTGCATGGCATCGAGTAAGCAGACCTCTTCAGGTTTGATCATGGAGCGGATGGCGTTCTCGTCTGGCAAGACCTCCCCGGGTTTCAGTCGCCACATGCCCTTCTCATTGCTGTCTCTATCATATTGAAGAAATTCCTTGAGCTTCTGCCGGTTCTGGGTGTCTGTCGAGTCCGCAATGTGCTTGGTTATGTCAGACAGCTGGCAGTTGTCGGTCCGGCTGTGCCGTATCATGCGAAAGGCGAGCATCTTCATGCGGTTCTTGGATGCGTTGGTGACCTTCCTGCTATGAGGGCCGGGCACATCTACTGATGGGAATGTCTGGCCAACGACATGCAGGTGGTCGACCTTGTGCAGAAACCAACGAGACCCTTCGACGCCAGTGGTGCTGCGGACAACTAGGAAGTCGGTGTTCCTTGGGTTGTGCTTGAAGACGGGTGCGCGATACATCTCATTGTGGAGCGTCGGGACAGTCTCGCCAGGATCGACAGTGCCAAAGAGGGAAAAGGGCGAGCGGTCCTCCGGGAGAAGCATGCGGTACTCTCCAAGATCTTGCTTGGGCAGTTGGTCGTCATCCGTCATATCCTTTCGGCGGTAGTAGTTGATGAGCTTATTTCCCATGCCGAAGCTATTTAGGACCCTCGGTCTCGGTTCGCAGTACTCGAAGAGCACGGCGGTGGAATTGTCGCTGATGCTGAGATCCTTGGAGGTCAGGAAAACTTCGTGGGCCTTGCCCTTCTTCAACTTGCGCTTCTGATGAGCCGGCTTGTCAAACTTGATGACATGGCCAGCAAACTTCTTGTAGCGAAAGCGCGGGCGGTGGTACTCGTCCGTCGTGCCACCAAGCTTGACCTTGTAGTAGGGCCACGATAGCTTGATGGCAGGCATGCTGTGCTCGACAGAGATGTTGCCCAGCGTGGCGCGGACCTTGCTCTGGTGATTCTCCTTGAGGAGCTCGTACGCCTCGTCGTTGGACAGGTTGTACCGCTGAAGAACATCGCGTCCCGGCTTTCCATTCGCCATGCGCTTAGCATGCGTATCCTGGCGTGGCCGCTTCGCATTGTTCTGAGGCTCCAGCGTTTCTAGAAGGAGATAGGGGTCGTTCATGTCCAGGAGCACGCGCTTAGCGCCTCGCCGGGTCATTTCCTCAAAGTTGTCAAAGGAGGGCGCCGTGAATCTCGGAATCTCTGGCAGGCCAAGCTGGATCGTCTTGCGCTTCTTGGGCCTCGGCTGCGGTTCAGTGTCCACGTCCATGATCTCCTTGAACCAGTCGTCGTCCATATCCACGTCCTCCACCGGTCGTTTCCGGGAGTCCTCCCTCTCAGCTGCTTGCTTGAGCGCAAAGTCCGACTCCACCGTCTCGACGTACGAGTTCCAGTCTTCGCAGGCCAGCTCGATATCGCGGAGTGTAAACCCCATGACCGTCTCCGAATCCGACTCCTGGTCCAGCTCAAGCCTAATAGCTTCGTCGTCATCGTTGGAGACCTCGGTTATGCAGCAGACCAGGTTTCGGCTTTCCATCTCGCTGATTCTCTGCTTAAGAGATGAGGTGGCGGGGCCTGGGATGCGAAATTGCTTCTCCTGGTCCGGGGCTAGCTCGAGACTGAGCTTGCTGGTGACGAGGTGTTTGGGCTTCTTGAGCGGCTTCTTCTCCTTCCACGTCGCCTTTTTCGGTGGAAGAAGTTCGCTCCACGTCAGGATGTGGCCTTTCTTGTATGCCGGCCACGCCGCCTTGAGAAGATCTTCCATGGTCTCTGCGGGGGCAGGAATGTCGGGATCTTGGTTTGCAGCGCCATTCAGATGAGGCTCGGGGTCGAAGTTGATGCCTGGGAAGCTCAAGCCTGCGTCGATGGGCTGGGTGTCGTCGGCAGCCTCGGCGTCGCGAACGTGCGGTGCGGGAGAAGAGGGATCGAGGACAGGGTCCATCGGGGATGATGGCCCATCGCCAAAGAGGTCGTCGGCATCGTTGCTGGTTCCTCCATCGTCAGTGAGCCCCGGCATGTCGAGAGAGGTGCCGGCGCTGGGCTCCTCCTCAGGGAGATCATCGTCGCTGATGTCCTCGAAGTCTTGGGCATCATCGGCTTTGTTGGTCTGGTCAAAGGGAGTGTCGTCGAGCTTTAGTCCTCCGCTTGCGCCATCCTGGCTCTGCTCCAGGAGCCGAGCAATCTCGGCGTCGTCCGCGGCATCCTGCGCCTTCCAGTCATTCTCGTTGAACGACGAAAACTCGTTCTCGCCCTCCGCCATGTTTGTTGTTGTCGTCCACCTCCGGCTCCGCTGAGAAGCGTAGAGTGTCGAGTGTATCAAAACTTCATTCCGCGACTGTGTTTATGCGCGACCGGTCGGTTCGAGTAGCGTGGCGATGAAGTGTTGCGCGTCGTTTGGTCAGGATGCAGGAGTCTTGATCGCTGAGAGCTGGGAACTGCGCAATCTAGAAGTGATGAGTCAGCGACACAATTGTGGCGGCCAATGACCCATGCGCTAACAGAAGGTGCAAACACCTCCACAAAGACATACCAGGTTGTAGAAAAGGTATCATTTACCTCGGATTTGAATCGAGCACGCAGATACGAGTACGTGGTTTGTATTCGTTTATATATTGTCTCGCGCAACTGGGGTTAAGTGACCGTGAGGTGCAGTAAGTGAGATGCTCCAAGATGTGACGGCCATGTCATTTAGACGCGGCGTTGATGTTACCCGCTTGTGATGTCAAGAGCAGAGCTCCGGGCACAAGGTGGAACACCGTGGTATGCATGTAGGAGGAACGTGAAATGGAAGCATTGAGTGAATGAAGACCAGTATAAATAAGGAACTGGCAGTGCCAGCCGGCCAGCGGTTGTGCTATCTGCGCGCCTACCCTAGAGCTCTGCAGGTAGCACTACGCTCAAGGAGGTCCCTGACAAGGACTTGCATGTGTTCTTTTTGTTTTTGTTTTTTGGTTTTTGGTTTTGGTGAAATTGAATTCATGTAAGTTGTTACTTTCTTTAAAGTAGCCGTTTTCTGGCTACCAATAATTTGATTCGTGGCGTTGGGTAAAAACTTACACATTGCTCTCCCACAACACTCCACCCCACTACCGTCTAGCCTCGCCTCAGACCCACGATGGTTTCCAGAGCCTCGCAAATTTGTGTGCTCTTATTCAACATTACCTCCATCCTGTATCCATTCACTAGCAAGGTACTTTGGCCGAGCGGTTAAGGCGCTGTGTTCAGGTCGATTGAATCCTCTGGATTCATCTCCATTCGCAGTCTAGAAATAGGCGCAGGTTCGAGTCCTGCAGGTATCATCTATTATTTTTGCCCACGGACGCTGCGTGCCTTTTTGCTACAACATGACATAGACAGAGTGTAGTGTTTGAACGGGGAGATGGTCACCACTGTGCCCCTCGTACTGACGGGTCTCAGACAAACCGAGTCGTGCTCAATATACCATGATCCAACGGAGAGCAAAAGGGAAGCTGTGAAGCAGCTAGCCGTGTTGCAAGTCTCGACGAGGATGTAACATCCAAGACCACGATCATATCCCTGCTCACAGTGCTTGCCCAAATACACTGATGGACGTAAAGACCAGAACTTCACTACCTGTAGAAGGACACCTGAGAGTTGCCAGCATAGCCACCTGCCGCGATGGGGTTCTCTACCGGGCCAATCCTCTATGATTACATGGAACGCATTGTAACTCATACCTGCTACGCGACGGCAACTATATTTTTATAAATCACCTCATGTTGTCTCATAGGGCAAAAAGAAACCCTCGCTCAAGGAGCAAAGTAAACTGGGCCAAAAAAGATGTGGTTAAATGCTCACTACCAGGATCGAACTGGCGACTTTTGCATATCTGAGCGGATGCTCTTATTAGTACAACACTCTAACCAACTGAGTTAAGCGAGCTGATTTGTTGAACGGCGATTGAATAAGAGTAGCTATAAGGCCCTGGTGAAGTCGCCACTGATATCGCCGAATGTGCAAGCCCAACTCACCCAAACCGCCCAGAGCACCTGAACAACAGCTGTCATTTCTCTGGTATAAAGTGAGAGGCCCTGGCTAATTGCACATGGCCCCCCATCCAGAATTCCGCATACGTGAGCCATTTTGGCTGCTTGATAACCCATATAGCCTGTCTATCATGGCATCACGCCTAATGCCGATTGTGTAGGTAGTTCCTTCCTCACCTGCACCGTGCCTACCCGGCACAGTTTGAGTTCAGTGCACTGGATTTATCTGTCTCGACAGGGCATGGCCTGGTTGCATCCCTCTCATAGTTGCAACCAGCAGTTCCCTTTGAACTGATAACATCAACCTCCTGCATTTCCGCACAATTCCCCTGCTGCTTTCCTCAACTGGTTCATTCCAGGCCCAAACCAGCACCATGGATCCGTGAGCAGCCGACGCCCTGGACCGCCGCCCCCCACCTCGCCGTTCACCACATCAGTGGCAACACCACAACACAACACCCCGCCGGCTTTCTGCGTAAACTACACCATTGCCAACCTCTGAATATAGTCTGAAACAATCTCCACGTCCTTCAACACCCTCAGGGTCGATTAGCTCAGTTGGTTAGAGCGTCGTATGTTTTCGCCTTTCCACACCATCCAAAGACGCATTACTGACATCACCAGGTACTAATATAACATCAGTTATATACAGTGATGCGAAGGTCATGGGTTCGACCCCCATATTGACCACTCTTTTTGCTGGTGGGCGTATGGCTGTCTTTTTGGTTGTGGATGGTGGGCATTTGTGGTGGGCATTGGATTTGATGTCTGACAACTTGTCCGGAATGGACCAGACCAGGCAGGTACGTTTCCAGTTGATATTGTGCCGCTCCTACCTCGTGCTGCTTGCTGTCCTGTCTCATAGCACTCTGCTTGTTCTATTTTGTTTGCGCATGCACTGGGTGGATGTATCCAAGCTGCAAGGGAGTAGGGTCGTCTGCCAGCCAGGCTCAAGTATTTCCCTATTTCCCTATTTCCCTCCCAGTTGCTGTACCGCTGCGTTCTGGCTTGGCCGGAGCCTGACCCGAGGGCAGTATGTATGAGGTTGAATACCGAGCCGCCGGGCCGGGCCCACAGATATACCATCCGCTGGAGGCTTCGGCAGGCACGGATGATGGTTGCGACTGACTCACCTGCCCAGCTCGGTAGTGGTCGCATCACGCAAGAGATGTCTTCATTCTTGCATTGTGCGTCTGAATCCATGTATTTCTGTCAGTCATGAACTCGCCGTTTCCGACACCAGTGAACTTGTTGGGCAATGGATTGATCCGGTCTTGTTGCTCTCCTTTGCGTCACATTCGGCCATTTGGCACAACATGCTGTCAGTTCGCTCGGCCTGATGGACACTTATGCTTTTGGCGAATGCCATGCATCTTCAAACTCAAAGAATTGCCATGTTTGTAATTTTATTTCGTGTTCCTCATTTGTCAGCCTTGGAACGAGGTCATGGAGACGACGTATAAGCATCTCGCCAACTGCGATTTCGTCCTCTATTGACACTCATGAGAAACATATGCTGAAGGGACTGTGTATGCCCATTCACGCCAGCAAGCAGACCTACAGTTTCTGAGATTCTTGTTGGCTTCTATTGGCACTTGTTCTGCTCTGTATCACACCGCGAGTGGCAAACATTTCTGTGGATGTCGATGGGCTTTGCCCAGTATACGTTTCAGCCTGGTTGAGAAGTGGCGGGTAGTCGTCGATACGCAACATCTTCCATCCTACTCCTGCTTTCTGTGTGTGCCACTCTGCCAGCGGAGCCCTTCATACCAATTTTACCTGATGCCTTGAAGCCAACTCATCTCTAATGACGGCTTGTGCTTGGTGTGATCACCATTCAATACATGAGACAACAATCATCAAGCCGCGCACCAAAAGTCCCGCTGGTAATAGCTCGTAAGTCCCTGCATCACGAACCACGCACATCAGAGTGCTAATACGCCATCACAGGTACTAACATACAATCCAGTATACATGGTGATGCTAAGGCATGAGCTCGGCCCATATTGACCACGTTCCTTTTACTACGTGGCGTGAGCTTTTGCGTTGGCATTGGGTTTTGCGGCTGTGCCCATGGCAAGGAGGCCCTAAGTGACGTGTTTGCTTCGGTCAAGATTTGAGTATGTTTGTCGCTGAAATGTCTCGAGGACGCTATCATTGTAAAGCCTAAGAGCTCTCGAATAGTCTATGCAAATTATACATGGCCATGACCAGACCCAATCCATGCGCTGCCGTACGCAATCAGTACGATGCCAAACCACCAACGCCTAGTGAATGCCAGCTTGTAAAAAACACGTCTTTTGTCCTCATAGCTCGTCCCTGTTTAGCACCGGCACCTCGAACCTCCATTGTCGCGGGCTCACTGGCAGTCCAACCCAGAACTGGAGCAGCCGTTTTGTCTCCGACGAGATGATGTACCACCTGCAGCACGTTAGTATGACTTCGAGAAGAACAAAGGTAATGCGACGTACAGAGCTGAGGGAATGCGCATCCAGCTCTCAAGCACAATGCGGCTCGCCTTGAAAACCAGTGCTAACTCTTGCTTAAATTCATCGGAAAAGGTGGGCGGTTCCGAAGTCTTGCGCTTCTTGGGTATGTGCTCCTCCTCCTCATCCTCAACCTCGCCCTTATCCTCTATTTCCGGGGCTGCCTCTTGCGGACCATCAGCAGCCTGCGCCTCGACCATGCCGCGGAACTTGAAGATGGAGGACATGGACTCGGCGAGCCGGGCATACGTGTTGAAGAGCGCGACGAGTTCCGTCCGCTTGAGCACGGGGATGTCGTTGCTATCGTTGTCGAACTCGAACAGCACCTTGAGGGCGGTTCCGTAACCATTAGTCTGAACCTTGCCCCAGAGGCGGCACTTGTCACACCCGACACAGTCCATCAGCCGGCTCACGTTGCGGAACCTGTTGCGGAAATCGTCCTTGAGAGACGGGCCCTCGCCGTTGACAAACATGAGCGTCTCGTCAAAGATGGACGGCACGCTGGCCGCACGCTGCGTCACCTCGAGGACCTTGGCCCTCGTCGCAGCGTCCTCGGAGGGGTCGCCCGTGCAGAAGGAGGTGTAGTCCGGGTCCTGCAGGTACGGGCCGAGCTTGGCGACGGCGCGCGTGAGCAAGGCGTAGTTGAAGTACAGGTTGCTGATGCGCTCGGGGTGCTCGTGGAGGCGGGAGATGTAGCATTGCAGGTTGGGCTGCCACTCGCCGGTGGTCTGGTTGAGGAACTGCCAGCACAGGTGGGTGCTGATGCTGGCGTGCATACCCGAGACGACGCGGTAGAAGACTCGCTTCTCGAGGCACTCATCCATGAGCTCGGAGCCCGTGTTGGCGACAAAGGGGGTGCTGGGTCCTTGCTGCCGCTGCTGGTCCAGCTGCATCTGTCGGCCGGCCGAGTTGAGCATCTGCTTAAAGTCCTGCGCGGCAGGGCCTGGCTGCCATTGCGTCTGACCAAGACCGGCCGAGTGCGGGAAAGAACTCTTCTGGAAGCAGTTCTCGCGGTAGATGGCGTCCCAGACCAGCCTGGCACCCTCGCCCATGTAGCCGGTAAAGCGTTCGGGGTTCCTGACAAGACTGACGTAGTCTCCCTTGGAAGAGGCGCTTTCGTCCTCGGGCACGCAATAATCTCGCTCGTCGCACTCGTCGTCGTACTCGACCACGCAGCTCTCGCCGACGTCGTCACCCAGCTCCCCCTGCAACGGCTTCTGAGGATGCTTCTTCTGCTCCTTCTTATTGGGGTGCTTAGCCAGAGGCCCCTCCAGTTTGCTCAGCTCGCTCGCCCTCCAGCTCGGCGGGATGTTCTCCTCGTTGTCGATTGTCTCGACGGCACAGGCAATGTTGCCGCACATGGAGTTGCCATCGTCCCAGAAGGGGCACGTCTTGTGGAAGAGGTTGAGGCGGTAGTAGGAGAAGAAGTCGGTGGTCTGGACGAGGTCGTCGATGACGGGTTTCACGGCGGCATTGATGGTCTCGAGGGTGGCGTAGGAAGCACAGGCATCTTCAACGATGCTCTTAGGAGAGATCTGGCCAACATTGAATAAACCCAGCTCTAGGGCAAAGAAACGGGTGAGCGAGACGACTTACGGCGCAGTGTTGCTTCGATTCGGCACAAGTCCCCGGTGATGCCCACAGGGCGAAAACCGAGAGGTAGAAGAGCCTGCTGGCAGACTTCATGGCGAGGATGAGGATGGAGGGGCTGTCAATAATAACGAGCAGGGCGGATCGGCTTGTCGCAACGTGGTGCAAGTGACGGAGCGGAATGTCATACAGCGGACGGGGTGCGATAAGGATGTCCAGCAATGTCTTATCGGCACAACACTTGTAAAAGCTGGAATCGTGAAAAAGTAGCCGCAGAAGAATTTATACAACCCCAAGATGCCAGCTCCAGACAAGGTCGTTCGTTATAAAGAGATTGGAATCCAAAGAACAAAATGGCCACGGTGGCAGCTGATCAATCATAGGTACCTGTGCAGCGGAGCCGGGGGGAGGCGAATGGCTCAAACAGGAAGCCGATACGCAAAATTGGGCGGAGCAGTTTTGCTCATGCCATACGCGGGAGCTACATCATGCACATTCCATTCCGTTTCCCACCCAATATATGCCAAAGAATGCGCCTCTATAGCCAAAATGAGGGATAAGTCGAGCATGGTCCAATACGACGTTCGTGTTCAACGCACAATTGCAGCAGCAGCGGCTGGGCTCTGGCGCCATCCTATTGTTTCGAGCCATGTGGCCACAAAGTCCGCATCCGCATCAGCATCAGCAGATTTCCATGTCTCTTCTGCTGAGATCCTCCGTCTGTTCCCATGGATCGACGTTCCCTTGCTCCTTCCTCCCCGCCTTGTACATAAACATGCATTATCCCGATATCTATACCCTGAATGAGTTCCTTTGTTCTGCGGACAAAGGCTGTGACGGCTGAGCACCGTGCTGCGCGGCCTACAGCTTTGCTAGCGGCTGTGGCTTGTTGGAGACGCCCTCAACGTGGCCAGACCCTTCTGCCCGTTCCGTGACTGACTGCTGTTAGCGGCGTGGCATGATGTGATGCATCGTCCCACGGTTGTCGCATCATGCTTGCAGTTCTCGACAGACGGCCCATGCATCCCTGGCAGATGCAAGAATCCACGCCGCTGTCATTTGCGCAAATCAGACCCATTTCCAGAAACCGACCAGCTGGTTGGTCTTGACTTCCATTCCATTCTATTTCTATTCATGCTCGTTTCTCCCGCCGCTTGGCCAATGAGGCGCCCTGGCCATACCCCGTTTTTATGCGTGTTTGGCCATTCGATTTGTATGGGTCTCTTCCACGTTTGTTTGATCCCATGTTTATATGTTTCAATGCCTCCAACTCACACTGCATCATGATTCTTACTCTCACTCAACGCTCCTCAACAGGCTCACATCTCTGCGGCACCGACGAATTGTAACATCTCATCTAATTTAGGTGCGGTTTTACTGTGGCCCATCAATGTACATGCTTCCCAATCCCTATCCACGTCCGGCCATGACAACGAGGTCATTGCCATACCATACCATCGAACACCAGCCCAACGTAGCAAAAACCCGCCATTCACGACGGTTTCCCTCGGCCGGGGGAGCCCGGCATCCCAAAGCAAAAGCCGAACCGTCTGTACACATCCGCAGCTCTGCTCCCTCCATATCTCTATATTCCCACGTCCCGCCTACCTGCCG